AATTTCTGTAAAACATAAATGTCTGGAAATAAATATCATCAATATCATATATATTCTTGTCTGCAGCATATCTTCTCATCTGTTACTTCCCCAACCAGGGATTTTCTTTTCTTATCTCTCACAAGAAAAAAATAGTACGCCAATGGTTTTTTGCCAAATAAAAATTATATTTGAATTTCCCGTTCAATCTAAAACAAATGATCTCTCTTGAATTGTTTTCCTTTGATACGCTATTTTTGAGTAAAAAAATAAAAACCGTTCTATTGTCTAACTTGCAAAATTATTATTTAATTGGAAAAAATAAACACATTAGGGGTAATGAACAACAACAGATAACAACATAAACATAACGTTAAAACCTACGAAATGATTACAAAATTGTTGAAAATGGCCCCCATCACTTAGCATGCATACTTCCGCCCTCCTCATGGAATTGCGCACCCGTTGAAATATCCCTGGAATGTTTTTTATTCTGTCACGAGCTGCAACTATTCTTTCTCTTAATTTATCTACAGTGTTAATGGGACTTGTGTACACTAGTGTCTTAAGATAGCCCCACAAAAATAAATCTAGACTGTTGAGGTCTGGGGACCTTGGTGGCCATTCTTGGGGCCCACCGCGGCCAATCCAACGATTTGGATAACCAGTTTGTAAATAATTACGAACCGCTACACTGAAATTCGCTGGTGCACCATCATGCATGTACCACAAATTATTTCTTATTACTAACGGAACATCATCAAGCAGCAAAGGCAACTGTTGTTGAAGAAAATTCAGGTAAGTCTGTCCGTCAAGTCGTCCCGGCAAGAAGAATGGGCCAATAGAGTGGTTGCCAATAATTCCTGCCCATACGTTAACCGAAAATTGGTGTTGGAAATGAGTTTCGGTTAGGATATAGGGACCTTCTTTTGCCCACAAATGATTACTGTGGAAATTCTGAATGGCATTTCGTTCGTGAACAGAATCATTGATTCAGATTGCGGATTTTGTGTAATTTCTTGAAGATACTACTGACAAAAGGTCACGCCTTGGAAAATCAATGGGAAGTAATGCCTGTACTCCTGAAATATGGTAAGGATATAACAAAAACTCCACTAAAATTCTCCAAACAATTTGATGACAAATACTTAAGTATCTAGCGATCTTCCTCGTACTCGTTTCAGGATGTTCTTCGACTTCGTGCAGCACTGCTTCCTCAATTTCAGGTGTTCTCACACTTAGAGGTCTACCTTCAGATGTTCCTTTTCGGACAGAACCAGTTTCAACAAGACGACGATGAATATTAGAAAAGGTTCGACTATCTGGCAAAGCACGATCGGGATATCTCTGGTGATAAATCCGTCTGGCTTGCTCACCATTAGCGTCGGCAAGGCCATATACTTAATACATTTCACACCCCTAAATATTCGCATATCATTAAGGAACACCCTGTATAATGACAAAAAACATGTCACTTTTCAAGATACATATACAGTCGAGTTCTCGATGCGTTCGCGACAGGGTCGAACTGTGTTTTGAGCGCTGTTAGCATGGTTGGAATGTGCAATGTTCATCGTTCAGGTGCTCGATTAGATTATGAATCAAACAGAGTCTGTATGTGAATGACTGAGTTCAAACAAGAGCCTTAAAAATAACTTCAGCGAAGAAGTTACGATGTCCTCTATTCTTACAGTTCGGAAATTACTGCTCCATTCTTAATACAATTCTGATACAAAAGTACTGATATGTGAATGATAGAACACCTTGAATGCTTTTACCAATAAAGGTATAGGAACAAGTGAAAATCTGAGTACGTCAACAAACTTAATATTTCGAATGTTTCCGGAGCGCTGATTATTTTTTGACGTAATACTAAAGTTCATGGGGTAAATGCCTAAAAAATGCGAAAATTCGTCTTTTGAAGTTTTTCTAGTTTTGGTTATTTCGGATGATAGTAGAAATATAGGTTGTTCAAAAATTCCGGAACCAGGGGCATATTCTCGAATGTGATTACGAAAGATAGCTGAAACCAGTTCCTGAGAGCTGAGTAGTACAGACATTTTTAGTTACTGCCCTTTCGTTTACTAATGTTAAGCATAACAAAATGCCTCGAGTTCAAAGCCGTCCAAATTATCACCATATTAGCGACTTTAACAGGGATATAATTATTGCTTATCGAGATGTTTGGTTTGTCCTATCGCGAAATTGGCCGCCGTATTAATTGTACTGCAATGACGGTAATGCGTGTGCGTCGTGTGTAGATAGAAGAAGGTAGAGGAATGCGAAGAAGCCCAACTGGTCCACCGAGGCGTACCACAGAGCGGCAAGATAGGCGCTTTTGGAGAAGAAGCTGGACCTGTTATTATGCGTACAGTCTACCTCCGCATTCGAGCCTTTGGGCTTTTTTCATACCGTCTACGGTTAGTGCTTTCTCTGACTGCGGACCACTGGCGTCAACGATTGAACTGAAGCAGAGAAAGGCAACATTGGGAGGCAGAATGGCACAATGTCATCTTCAGGGACGAATCGCGATTCTGTCTAGGTACGCACGATGATCTTAGAAGGGTAAGACGCCGCCGTGAAGATCGACGGGATATTGGATTTGCTATTAAAATGCATGTACACAGGGCTGTTGGAATAATGGTTTGGGAGGCTATTGCCTATGGAAGCCGATTACCTCTTCTCTTTGTTCAAGGCAATATGACTGCTGCGCGTTATGTTGATGATGTCCTACCATCCAATTTACTGCGGTATCTGGAGGACCGTCCACACATCCTTTTTCAGCAAGACAACGCACGTCCCCATATTGCTCGTCGTACTACGGATTTAAATCCCATCAAACATGTGTGGGACATGATCAGGAGGAGACTATCTACTTAGCACCATCCGCTACAGGCTCTGCCACAGCTGATCCACTAAGTTCGAGTTGCTTGGAATGAGGTGCCACAACCAGACATCGATCATCTCATTTTGTCGTATACATACACTAAGTAGTGCATTCAGCTGCGGGGTCGCCCAACATGTTATTGTTTTTGTGTCTTATTACTTGTCAATAAAATTTTGTGAGAATGTTATTGTTTCATTCTTGATGTAAGACTACCTCGTTGCCAAAAAATCATGTTGAGGAAATTATTTTTATGGGTGTAACACTTTTAATGTCACTGAATATATTTTATTAAGCCCTATAAGTTATACTCTAGATCTATTATTATATTTCGCAAGAAAAAAACAATATTTGCAACATGTGAAAGACAAAATTGATGCTATGCACCCTATTTATTTTTTTAGTAATTTTTTAATGATTTAATTCTACCAACTGATGTCGTACAGAATGAGTTTTGCTCCAAATGGAAACGATATTTAGTATGAATTTGACTCTCCATACCAATTCAAAATTATGACGAAAATTTATAGAAACTAATATACAGGTTCGGACATTCTCAGCATAATTGCGTTTACATGCTCTCACCACTATCCTACATTAGATTTAGTTAAATAATGCACACATGGTACACCATATACCTAATTAAATGTCAAATCTGGACCACCAGTGGATGGTTGTACATCACTTCGTATAATTAAGTCGTTCCAAAATAACCAAAATAGTAAACAGGGTGCATTAATCTCGCCTTTCATTTATATCATTTGTTTCTGTTTTCTCTGCTAAACAACATAAAGTCCAGAATATTACTTACAGGACGATGCATTTAATGTAACAGAAACTGAATTCGGCCCTAAAATTTTGAGTTCCCAAGACATTTTTAGATGAATTCGAAGCATTATATTGTGAAATGTTGATGAAATCAAGATAGTAACGTTTGAAATTTTGAGTTTTGTGATAAAAACAAGATAATTGAATAAATACTTGGTCAGACATATCAATATCAGAGTTGTTGATTGTGCTAAAATACGAAAAAATTAGAAAAGTCGAATCCACTCCTGGTTTCTTTAATCATTGAACTAGTACTAACTTACTCCTAGGTAACTTTGTTATTTTTCAAAATTTTACCGGGATCGATAGTACCGAGAAATGTGATATTACAGATTCAATAAATACTACATTTAACTATGTCCACTTAAGTTTTGTATACCTTGTAAATACTAGATCTCAACAGACAGCTTGAGACAAGAATGGGCCCAGAGTCGGTGAACAGCAATTAGTGCCAAAGACAAAGATTTTCGCTATAAACTAGCTCACCTTTGTGATTTATAGGAGATCAATTCCCAATGGGCAGCGCCGGTTGTGTAATCTTTGGGGTATTAAACGCTCGAATCGTTATGTATAGTCTTGTACCAAAATGGAAGAGAGCTGCGTATAGCATCGTACGCCAGTGTTAAGGTTGTGTACCTTTGATGGATATGTTCTCATTCCTTTTGCTACTAAATTTATTATCAGTTGTCTGAATTTTATTCTAATTGATTTAACAATAAATGTATCCCTGTAAGCGTGAGCTATATCTGTAAAACAACTAGAGAAAAACCGGTCTTTTTTCGTGAGACTGTCCAGCATAGTTCTGTTCACGATTTTTAGTGCACATTGTACAACTACCAGCATTATACTACCATCTGCCTCACTCATACACATGCTATCATGATATCTACCGATGTGTACGAACGTTTGCTGTGTAAGCCCACAGTCATTTCTACAGTTTCTATTCGGGACCGCGAAACTTTTAGCGGCAACGTAAGAGTATTCAGTAAGTATTCGCTAAGTATGTTGGAATATTTTCAGAATGTGAATAAAAGCAGCGGTCCTTTATTCTCTCTTTTCGCCTTAGTCTGTTTACTAATTTTGTATGACATTGATGAGGTTACCACCAAAAACCGAATAATGTCTTATACCTTCCAAATGATATAATATAAACCTATCGAATCCTTCAAAAATCGAGGAGTCGCTTCAGTGTGGAAAGAAGTTATCACCTGTGAATGTTTCCTGAACGCACAGAATAATAGAATTAGAAAAGATATTTTGAAAATTGTCGCAAGAGTCACTTTGAGGATTATATAAATAAAGCGTATAATTTAAATGTAAATAATGTATTCGATCAAATAGTACAAAAAAATCACACATAGACTTTAAAAAGTGACGTTAATACGAAACTTTGAAGTAAGACAATAAAATACAGCATATAAAACTAGGGCTAACCTAAGGAAATAAGCTAAAATATTGCATATTTAAATATTATAATAATTTTTTTTACATCATTATTTAATTAGAAATAATATAAGGCTTTGTTAAGAATTAAAATCACTGACACGTAGATAAAACAGGAAACTGGAAAGCAGCCAAACTCCAGTCAGTATCCTTTTAGACTTTCTTAGTCCTAGTCCCGACTTCTGTGAAGAAAAAGAAGATCTTACATCATCGGAATGAATCACTCAATAGAATATAATGCTTATGTGCCAAATTATTTTGTAGCTATATGCTCCCAGGAACTCTTGCATTGCTATGACTATCCTACATCAAGCAGGCTTTGAAGAGGTATACTACCTATTGTACTGGCTCTCTGAGAAAAACTGGTCAAATAACAATTAAACAGTTGTTCTGAAAAATTTTCATTACCCGTAATAAATTTTATAATTGCTCTAAGTAACTAAAATGGTAGGAGAACAAATGATATCTGTGAAGGGCTGTTTTGTGGAATAAAAGAACTCCCGCCACTCATTACCAAAAAAACGGGTGCGCTATGAAGAATGTTCACTTCTCAAACTGCCAAGGGGGCATTAATGAGCACTCATGTTTAGGAACATTAAAATTCGTTATGATTTTCCTTTTTTTGTCATGGACTTAACAGGTCTATCTATTTTATATATATATATATATATATATATATATATATATACAGGGTGGCTCATCCATGTGTGGACGGAATATTACTCATAAACAAATACATTTTGGGAAAATACATTTATGGGATGTTATACATGACATTTGAGAGCACATTTCTAAAATATTGTCCATTATACAGGGTGTCCCAATTTCGACCTACATATCAAAGTTGTGATTTTTCAAATGGAATGCCTCAAATTTTATTGCACATTTGTATAAACCAATTCAAAAGAAGAAAATTGATATAACAGACTTTTGGGTTTTGGTAATTAAGTACTGCGATATAAGGTGCTTTGTGTAGAAATACCCACCAACTAGGATAAAAGCTGAGGTGTGTAAGTTTTTTTTGATACAAAATTCGGCACTCCAAATTTCAAAATGGCGGATTGAGAGGTTGCCGGTTTTTCTGGACAAAACCCCATAGTATGTTATGTCAATCTTCTTCTCTTGAATTGGTTTATCCAAATAAGCAATAGAATTTGAGGCATTCCATTCAAGAAATCACAACTTTGATATGTAGGTTAAAATTGGAATACCCTGCCAATATTTTAGCAATGTGCCCTCAAATGTCATGTATAACATGCCATTAATAGATTTTCTCAAAATGTATTTGTTTATGAGTAATATTCCTTCCACTTCTGGATGGGCCACCCTGTATATATATATATATATATATATATATAATTGATTCCTTATTTCCCAGGGTCACGCCATAACTTGAGAAGGACCTTACCGATTCCATTCATTTTTTTTTACCTTATACTGCATAGAAAGTTCTTACGAAAAGAAAAATCAAGAAAATTGCGCAAAAAATTGGGAAAGCATTGAAAACCTGATGATTATTTGAGTTACACGCTCTTGACTTTTAGCTTGAGCATAGAGCACGCACAGCAGAAGAAATATTTCAAGTACAAAAAAAGAGACAGGCTCTCCGCTCCGCCATCTTTATTCCAGCAGCTATAGAAAGCTATGTGAGAGAAAATTGCTTACGAAAACACGGTGCGTTCGTTTTTGGACTTTCATTTTTGTACCATCCGTAGTTTGTGATGGCCTCTTCAAAAGAAACTGCGTGATTTCTAATTGTTATCTTGAATAAAGATGGCGGATGAAAATACGTTTCTTTTGCTTAATTTTGAAGTTGACATCTCGGACGCCGCAAATTTATATTATCGTTTAACAGCCTTTATCGATGATTAAATTATTTTTTTATTTAACTAGTAGTGCACAGTCCATTCGATTAGAGCTTTTATCCAGGTTTCAGTTTGTTCGGTGAGTTTTGACAACCATTGTTCAAAAATGATTAACGACTGTGGAAGTAGTTCACCCGAATCACGCCTTATACTAGTATTAAAATTGTGATTCTTCAAAATGCCACAATTAAACGTACCAACCTAAGTCGCAGAACTCGCAATGCTGTGAGTCAAAGATGTCTGCGAAAGGTTGGGAAATCTTGAAACTGAAGATACTACAGATCAAAATATGCGAATTGACCTAAATATACAGTAGTCCAAAAATTGATAGTTTGCGAGATACAGGGCGTCAAAGTTACAATTTTATTTTCTATTTTTGCTTATTGCTTGAGAATTATTTCAGAATTTGGCATAAAAATAATAGGGGATTTCTAGTATGAGAAACAAGAATCCGTTATTTTTTATGGCAAAACTTCTAGAGGGTGAAAGTTACAGCACTATTTTGGTAAATAACTTATAACTTTTTTGTGCTGCCCTATATACAACAACTGACTGAAAAAAAATGATTTTTTCGTTTTTCCATAACAAAAAATGGTTACTTGTTAGAAGTGTCTACAGTTTTCGAGATATTTGTTTTTGCTTTTCACGGATTGTTTTTAAACCTTTGGGTATGCCTTCGTCCATAGGGCTGACGGAAACACTATTTGTAGCAATTTTGTGATTGTATGTTATTTCCCGCAGGATGATTGTATCTGAATTTTTGGTATTTCCAGAAACATACAAAATTTCTTTGAATCAACTTGAGTTTCCCTTTCTACAATTGTTACGTAACTTTGAAAGTCTTTGGATATCAACTGATTTTCTCCTCGATTCAGCGTAAGCTCCTAAGTTATTATACAATTCGAATTGGGATAGTTACGCTTGATTTTAAATTTAGCTACACTTGTTTCAACTACATCTTTGAGCTTAACCGTAAAAATTTCAACCAGTTCACTGACATCTGAACAATGCAGAATCATTTCAACCCAACTGATATGCGACAGCATATCAAATGTCCATATACGAGCCCCTTCCCACTTCAGTTGGCCCACTTCAAGATTTGTACCAAAATATGCCTTTATAAACTACACACGACGAAACTATTTACTTCTAAAACAATTTATTTTCTCAAAAACATTCTAGATAGACTCTAGTCGTAAAAATTACATATCTGAAATCACTTAGACCTATAACTAATAGAACATCTGAACAAATAAACAATGTGCGAATAAATGCGCGAAGTTAACAAAGCAACAATTGCAAGATTACCATTGGGTAACATCACCTTTATTTTCTATTACGGCTGATAATTCTTTGGGGCATAGTGTCAACCAAGTTTTGGCACAAATTTGGTGTAAAACAATCCCAAATTTCTTGAAGCTTTTGCCTCAGTTCGGTGATTGAACGAGCAGGATGTTGTCGTAGAACCTTTTTCATCTCGTGCCACAAAGTGTCAATAGGTGACAGATCTGGACTTCTAGAAACCCATTTCAAAAGTGATACATTATTTTCTTCCATCCATTTTATAGCCTTTTTTGAGGTATGGCACGCTGCTTGTGCTTGTGCTTGTGTGATTGTACGAGCAGGATGTTGTCGTAGAACCGTTTTCATCTCGTGCCACAAAGTTTCAATAGGTAGATCTGGACTGCTGGAAACCCATTTCGAAAGTGGTACATTATTTTCTTCCATCCATTTTATAGCCTTTTTTGAGGTATGGCACGCTGCACCATCTTGCTGAAACACAAAATCTTGGTCGGATGTCAAACATTCTTCCGTCACTGGTAAAAGCGATTCGTCTAAAATTGCCAAATATTTGTTTGTGTCCACATTTCCATCAATAAAATGAAGTTTTCCTACTCCTTTTGATGACATACTGTCCCAGACCATAATGGATGCTGGAAATTTTATTTTTCTCTTCAGACAGTCAACATGGAATGCTTCATTTTTTTTGCGAATAACTCTACTGCGACTGTCACCAACACAAACTTCGAATCGGGCCTCTTCACTCCAATGTATTGCACACCATTGTTGAGGTGTCCATTGTCTATGTTCTTTAGCCCATATAAGCCGATTTTTCTTTTGCAGTGGAGTTAATAGTGGCTTTTCTTTGGCCTATAAACAAGTTGTGCAACTTACCTTGTAAGTGCTAAATGCCAGTTTGTGGGGCTCTCTATGAGTTGTGGACCTCGAAATTTTCCTTCCAACAGCGCCACTCTAGAGAGTACTTAATTGTAAATAATTGGCACGCCTGTTTTTCACGATTATTCTTCTTAATGCTCTTCGGTCGGCATTTGTGATATTACTTTTTTTTCAGATATCGTGGCTTAATATTTACTGACGTTACATCTTCTAACAATATTTCTCACACTGTACCGCGATAAGTCTAACAAAGTTGCAATTTCTGAGTTTGATTTCCCAGAATTAAAAAATTTAATTATCAGTAACCGAATTTTCTCACTAATAACCTTTCCTCTACCCATTTTGAAAACCTTAACTACCCAAAACTATTTTAAACGTATTCTGACAGCTGTCATTAATAAAAACAATTGTCATGGCTTTTATTTTTCACTGCCACCTATGCGTTATAGACTTATTTTGCATTGAAATGAAAATAGGTTGCTATGATGTAATTGCAACATGTGTTATTTTTATGCTGCAAATAGGCAAGTGATAAAGTGGGTGTTTTCTACTATACATTATCAAAATATTCATTGCTAATATTTTAAACCTATAACACCCTGCTACATTTTTATTATTTGTGTTTGATAAGAAAAAAACTAAGATTTCAATAGTTGGGCCAACTGAAGTGGAAAGGGGCTCGTAGTTAGCTTTTAGGAAGTCATGAATGGTTCAATCATTGGAAATCGTAGATTTATGTCATTACCATACCTCAGCAGTTGAACCCCCTCTTCGAACAGGTATCTGTGCCCCTTGATAATGACGAACACGTCATGGCGCTTGTGGTTGATCTTGATTTGTATGTCGCGTTGCCCGACGAGGTATTCTTATGTTTAGAACTGGTGGTACCTCCAAGTATTCTCGAGCAACCCTAGGCTCGTCGTCCCGCTGTTGTTGAGCAGGTAACATCATTCGTCTTGTCTTGGTACCTCGGGTTCTCTTGGATTTGGAGGTGGTATTGGTTCCTGCAATAATTAGTGGATAAAAGTCAGTAAACATTAGTACAACGTTCTTCAAAGAATACATATTTAAAAAAAATTTAACTGAATAAAGTCAGTGAGACAGGCCCATACAATTAATACATAGTCCTCACCCAAAAGAAAAGGAAATACTCTCTCCCACTCCCATATAAACGCCAACTCCCAATTTTTGACCTACAATGTTTGAAAAATCCATCAACATCCGAGGAGTGCTTTTCGATTTATAAACGAGCCAAGGATTATCGGAAAGAGCGACAGATAGGCGGAAAGATCGACAGAAATGGTGTGGCTATTCGGGATGTACGAGCAGGTACCAAAAATAACCGGAATAGCATTGCAGAAGACTGTGTGTAGTATTCACATTTGCCCCTAGAGGCGTATAGTGCCACTCATTACCGGTTCAGTCCCACCTGAGTTGTCGATCTGGCTTGTTTTCTTCCTCTGTAGTCATTATTTTTGCTAGATCTGTTACCTGCTGTTTCGTTTTTTACGATGGCGAGCTCCAGCAACGTGCAGCTGTGAAATTTTGCTTTCTAATAATTGATAAAAATGCTGCTGAAACTGTTCTAATGTTGAAAATAGCTTACAAAGATGATGCTGTGGGAAAAACTCAGGTGTACGAGTGGTTTGCTCGATTTAAAAATGGCGACATGTCGATTGATGACAAACCTCACTCTGGACGTCGATCAACTGCCCGAATCGACGAAAATGTTGAAAAAAGTCGAGACCTTGTGCTATTTGGAGGTTTTAAGACGATTGCGGAACAGTGTTCGGCAAGTCAGGAGGCTGGTTCTACCACCACGATAATGCACCAGCGTACACAGCCATCTCTGTTCGACAGTTTCTGGTTAAAAATGGCATGGTTCCGCTGCCTCATGCACCTTATTCGTCTGACCTGGCTCCGTGCGACTTTTTCTTATTTCCACGGAGGAAAAAGGGGCATAAAAGGACGCCACTTTGACCGCATTGAAGAGGTCAAGAAAAAAACGAGGGAGGAGCTGTCAGACATTTCGAAGGAAGACTTCAAAAAATGTTTCTAGCAGTGGAAGGACCGGTGGGACAAGTGTATTAATTGTATTGGACAGTATTTTGAAGGAGATAAGGTTACTTTGTAAAAATTTGAAAATAAATGGCTTTTAAAAAATAATTCCGTTTTTTTTTTGGGTACCACCTCGTACATATGTGATACAATATATTCTTCTTGAAATTATTCGCGATAACAACACTTCCTCACCAGTGGCGTGGGAAGAAAAACATGAGTCAGGTTCTCCGATTTACAATGTTCATCAAAGTCGGTTCTACAGTTGCTGAAATGTGTGTTGATAAGGAAGCTCTTTTGATCGGACCGAAGAATGAAGGAATTAATTGACCAAGGTCTGCTATTTGAACAAAACAAAGCACGTGGAACACATAAACTTTGAAACACCGTTGTCGCAATTTTCCTAATATAGTTTCGGAGCACCGTATAGTAGCATCATTATTAATAACATATAGTTGGACCAGCGAAAGATTGCAAGCCGAAAGAATGCGGACAAAAAATTGCGAAGTTGTCAGATGTTCTACATAAAATGCGGTCCATACATATTAACATATTTAAGATATAGAATTGTTCCGCTGAATTTGGCAATGTAGCTGGAAAACCCAGGCCGCAGGTAAACATCCGGTCGCTGATTGGTCCAAAACTCTTATCTTATCTGAAACTAGAATAACGTGCCGATGGCACGGTCATTTATAAACCTACTCCCATAGGCGTAGGCAGTTGGCAAATACTTTGAAAATATAATTTACTGTTTAGTGGTGATAATGGAATTCAAGCATGGGAAAGTTATTCACAGCCAGGCAAGGGAAATAATAGCAAACGTGATACGTGCTTGCGATGCAGAAGCGGCTAACAATACTTTCGTTTATCCACTGGTAGCTAGAAATGCAAGGGCGGCATATTATACGGGTGTTAGTGAACGAACTATAAGTAAAATTAGAAAAGAAGATAAAGACAGGCAAAATGCAACCTCCACACAGCCTTTAGCTTCTCCCGGAAAAAAGAGATCACGCCCTTCTGTGATCCAAAAAATTGATGGAGTCGATTTTTCCATTATTCGGAGAATGATAGAAAAATTTTACTGTGATTTTAAAGTGGTACCTACTTGTAGTAAACTTCTAATCAAACTGAAGGAAGAAATGGAATTTCCATTTGGTAAAGAATCGTTGAGGCTGCTTTTAAAAGCAAAAGGATTTTACTGGCGTAAATGCCACAACAAAAGGAAATTACTAATGGAAAGACCCAGTATTTTACATTGGCGATACAAGTATCTTAGGTCTATTAAAAAGTTCCGGGAAGAAGGAAGGCATATTATTTATTTGGACGAAACTTGGGTTGATAATGACCTCACTTTCAAGAAATGCTGGCAAAGCGAAGAAATTATGGGTGTCCTGAGCAATATAAGTTCTACAGGTAATAAAGTTTCTTTCACCTCGATTTTGCTTATTATACATTTTTCTCAATTTTGGAATATTCTTAATAAGTGCTCATTTAATTTGTCTAATTGAATACATAATCCCTTGCAAGTATTTTTTTCTCAAAAATATGTTTTTTATACATAGTGATTCAAAAAGGTGTTGGCAAACTTAAAATAACACTAAAATGAGGCTATTTATTCATTTCCAGGACGACTTATAATTGTTCATGCGGGTTCGCAAGATGGTTTTGTTCCTGGAGCCTGTCTCATTTTCTAGGCTGGCTGTGCCACTGGTGATTATCACGGTCAAATGAACCAAGAAAATTTCACGAAGTGGCTTACTGAAAAACTATTTCCTAACATTCCTCCTAATAGTATTATAATAATGGATAATGCACCTTACCATTCAGCTTTGGAAGACAAGCCTCCAACTAGATCTTCTCTAAAAAGAGACATCATCACGTGGTTGAGCAAAAAAGGTATAGAGCATGATCCTAATGCTAAAAAAATGGAGCTTTATGAAATAGCTTGTCTACATAGGCCACCATCTGATGAGAAAAATTATAAGATAGATAATTTAATAAGAAGTTTCGGACACACCCCACTTCGAACGCCACCCTATATGTGTCAGTTTAATCCCATAGAGATGATTTGGGCACAAGTAAAATTTTTCATTAGAAGCCATAATACAAGCGGCGAATTTACTATAAAAAAACTAGATGAAATTTCTAATAAGGCCATCGCTTCAGTAAGTGCCAGTGACTGGCAAAAGGTTATTGGACATGTTATAAAAATTGAAGATGAATATTGGGAAAAAGACAGTCTCATTCAAGAAATACAGGAAGAAATAATAATCAACATAGGAGGTGAAAGTGATAGCAATGACAGTTCCTCAGACAGTGATCATGACTCTAATCAGGATTGAAACTATACTAGATTGGCTACCTTTTAGAATTTTTAGATATTCATTTATTATACTATTGGTTTGTGGCTTTTAGTATCTCAGTAGAAAGTCTAATTCTATGTGTTGTTTATGGGTTATTTCATCAAGAAATTACTTTTTGTTTTCCTATATTTTTCTATTCAGTCAGATATTTTTGACTTGTTGTATTCTATTTTAGAAGAATGCATAATTTGTTTTGCTGTTCAATCATAATGCGTACATAGGAATATTACTTGTTGCCTAAAAAATATATTTATTTTGTTCTCAATATTCAGTGTTTGTGTATATTTATTTCTTATAATGTATGTTTGGTATCACGTCATTATGAATCGCAAAAAAATATTAATACTACCAGTTGTAATAAAATATAAATTCAATTAATAATTCAAGTCTCTCCGATCTCCGCCTATGACTCCATATAAAATCGTCTAATGGTAAGGTTTTTTCATCGCATTTCCCCCTTTCGTCCCTAGCAATCTTTGGCTGGTCGATCTATAATTACTTCTTATCACTACTTATGCACCACCAAGTGTTTCCTATTAATATACTGATAATACCGAGTTGGCATACTCCACGTCATTAGATTTGATGTAGTTGACTGTGAAACTGTACCTGTACATTGAGAATCCCATTTAGTTCTCTTTGGGGCTCTATGGGATGATTTACTTCTTGCAGTACCTGTACCTGGCTAAAGTAGTTAAATTTAGAAAAACTAACTGTTACCGATTATAATGATAATTCAATAAATACCTCCATACGAAAATGTGTTGAAAATTTAATACCTAGGATTTGAGTTATAATTCTTATACAGAGCGCTCCAAATTCGACCCTTACCATTGGGATCTCGGAAAATTGATATACAAAGTTACTTAAATGGACACAAAGTTGCGTATTTTAATATTCAACGAAATGCCACTTAGAAAGTTTCTAAAATCAATGTACTTCCGGAGAGAGACGGTAAAAACTGTATTTTCTCAAAATCATTTTAATTTTTACCTGACTTTATTTGTAGTGGGATTTCAAAATTAATTGCACAATTAAATTGCCACTTTTTCTTCTCTACAAGATGGCATAATTAGAATTTTAAAATGTTGTTGCATCTCTTGTCCTCCAGCATCAATTTTATTTTTTCTTAAAGACGCCATATTGGCTTTTTATAGGTGTACATTCTTAGTAACTTCAGACGTACCACAAGGTAGTCACTTAGGACCATTGTTATTTAACATATACATGAACAACCTTACTTCTGTTTTTCATTTCAGTAAATCCAATTTGTTATATGCTGATGATCTAAAGATATTTACTATTGTTAGAAATGTAAATGACGGTGTAAAACTTGAAGGCTATTTGGAATCTCTGCAAAAGTATTGCACTGAAAACAGTATCTTCCTGAATTTAACAAATTGTTATTACATGAGGCTTACTAGAAACATAGCGGACACTATAGATTTCAGATATAAGATAGGGACGGTAGAACTGGAAAAGCTTCATGTAGTAAAAGACCTACGGGTATACATTGATGAGAAACTCTAATTCATCACTCGCGTAGAGCACATCGTAAATGATGCAAATAGAACATTAGGCTTCATAAACAGAACATGCAGAGAATTTACGAACCCAAAACTGTACTACGCTTATATGCACAACAAATTGATATTTGCATCAGTAACATGGAATCCGTCTTACAATGTATGTACATATAGCTAGGATAGAAAGAATTCAACACAAATTGTTGAAGATGTTAGCACATAAAACTCACCAACCTGTTACAGATCATCATTAAACGCAAATTATGTTCAGTTGTACAGTTCAATATGATTTCCTTAAAAGATAGAAGAACGATTTCTGACATTTGTTCTGTTCATTAATTGTTGAATGACCTCACTGACTGTCCGGATCTTTTGGCAAACCTGAACTGATAGAACGTTTAGAACCTATGATCTGTTTAGAATACCGTTCCGTAGAACTAATCTTGGGCTTAATTCCCCTTTGGTCAGGGCTCAAAAAAATCAATAATTTCTGTAATATAGATTTATTTAACATTAGCTTGACCTTCCTGAAAAAGGCATTAAAGTATGAGTATTACAGCTCTATGGCAGACTAAAATAGAAATGTTTTATTTTGTTTACATAACTCAAGTTATCTATCACCTCCAATATCATTTCTGGTATAATTTCAATTTAATTTTGATTTCAGTTTTAATTAAACGTAAGTAAATGTTAAATTATGTATACTCCTTTTATTAAAAAGGTTAAATTAATAGTTTATTGCTTATAATTAGAACTACTCACTCAATTTATGTTAAAGTATTCAATAATGTAATATATGTATATGTATACGATATTTTATGTAAGTTTAGTTTTAGTTCACTGAGGGTGTGTGTTGGGTTTACCTGTTAACACCCCAAACTGTATATAAATAAAAAATAAATTTCATTATCTATGTTCGGGTTTATAATATCTATTTATCTATTTACTTATACACACAGAGTGTACATGTAAGCGCAATAGTAAGTTAGTTCGTGAGGTAGGAAGGTAAAAGGTATGCTTATTTCGAGTAAAAAAATTCGGGATATTGAACCTTGACACTGATGTGAAAGATGGGCAATCGTAAATACAATGGACTGTCTTGTACAGAAACACAAGAGAATGTGCTTTTCTCCTATTATCTAAACAACAAAAACATGTTTTTGCAATAACTTGGCCTGAGGGGTTCGAATAGGCGGATATGTGTCATCGGTTTTAGAAAGACAAAAACTTTAAGAACTACATTTACAGCTAGAAGAATTTGCTCTATATGAGGATTACAGCTTAGAGAATTGCCCTTATGCTTATGTACTCTCTGCGAAGGATTAAAAGTTATCGACTTGATAATTGAATTGAATGGAAACCATTCTTCTTGTATATGTATAACATAACACTACATTTAGTGATGTTGATTGGGAGATTCTTTATAATACACCATTCTAATACCTTGTCGATGTCACCAAGCTGATGAGCACTGCTTTCGATACGAGATCAAAACCCTTGAAAACGGAAACATCTAAGACATTATTACCCGTGCTCCCCTTTTTAGGGATACATGTAACAGTTTTTCAAAATGCGATAATTTGAATTATAGCCAACATTCGAAAAATTTGATCACTTTTTCAAAATAGTCTAAAATCAAAAAGATGCATTGAACAATTTCCTAGAGCAAAAAATGAGAATCTAACATAGCTCCAAACTTTGTTAAAAAACCTTAATTTCTTTGCTCACCCTGTATAGGTGGATAAATTAAAGAAATATATCGGTCGAACCTCGTATATGTTCTCAAAGAGTTGGTCAAGAACCTGCCGAAAATATCACGATTTGAATTTGGGTAAAATTTTCCATGTTGCAAAGCAATAAATTACTGTCTACCAGTTTATATTATGTTACGATTATTCGATACTTGATATACTAAAATTGAAATTTGTGCAATGAACTATTACCTGCATCCATGTTGGTTGCGTGGTATTCTGTCGTTTATGTCCAAAGTATTTGTCAAGATCAATTGACGGATCAGTCTTCAACCTGTTGGGATCAACTTGCTTCTTCGCTTCATCAGCTGCCGCAGTAAGTTCACGTTGTTGCAATGCTATCATGTCGACATACAGCGGGCACCTATATTTGAGAAACCGAAAGAATAAGAGTACTAATGGTGATCCCCATGATCCGCCCCTGACCTCCTTGCAAATTTTCATTTGATAATCGTTATCGACACTAAAACAAGTGATCTTATTAGGTTCCGATTACAAAATGTTAAGTACAAGTCAAACTGTTTTTCTTTATGTGTTTCACATCCCACGCCTACGGGCGTGGAAGTATCCGTACAGTAAGCAAGAGGAATTTCAAAAACAAGATACTGTACATCACACGACAAACCATGTCAACTGTGTGCGCCACTGACTTTTTAAATGTTTCTATTTTTTTCAAAATTAGAAGCTGAAAATACAACTTTTTTGTCTCTTGAGTTTCCTCCATATCTCGCTTCGTTTGCGAGATAAAAAAATAAAAAGCTCTTTATTGTGCCCACTGCCCTATAAGAAAACTACCGACTACCATGAAGTAATGGACGGCAGTTCATTTGAACGATGGTTTGAAGAAACGCTCCCAAAGCTTGATGACAATGCCGTCATTGTACTCGATAATGCTGCATACCACACTAGAAAACTAGAAAAAATTCTCACAATGTCCACAAGAAAGGCAGAAATTCAACAATGACTCCTATCAAAAGACATTAGTTTCAATAAAAATATGGTCAAAGCAGAACTTATCATCTAGTCAGACGGCACAAATATAACCTATATAAAGGTTATTGACGAAATGGCTAAAAAACAAAATAAGACCGTTTTAAGGCTGCCCCCTTATCACTGCAAATTAAATCCCATCGAAATGATTTGAGCAAATATAAAAAACTACGTGGATTCAAACAATAGAACATTAAAATTTTCTGACGTGAAAAATTCGTTTTATGAAGCTGTCAACAGAGTGACGGCAAACCATTGGAGATTCCATCCATCACGTTCAAGAGGCAATCGAAACAAGGATGTGGAATCTAGACAATAATAATTATGATCGATATTCAAACTGAACCTGTAATAATAATAATTAGTATTAATCGTTCGGCCGATGATTCAAGTACTTCCAGCGAATATATAATTATAAAAAGTACTTGTTTCTATAAAAATAATCATTTATTTTGTTAGATTATTCCAAGAACATTGAGAAAAATACGGACCTGTACAATCTCGCTTTTCAGCATGTTGTGTTTTGTCTGGGCGTAAATGAACTACGAATGGGGATTACGTATATGTAAAAAGTGAAATTCGAATGTTACTTTATTGCAATCGTGTTAGGGGCAGAAAATAGGGATAAGCCTTCTTAATTACTTACTGCTCAGACCGACTGTCTCCAAATCCAATAAAGTGATCATACCCTGTCACTGGCTTATTGCAGACATAACATGACACCGCACCACATATGCACGTTATCTTGTTGCAGCCGTCCTCCTCCTTGATAAACTTTCTCTGACATCTGTGGCATGTTCTGTAAGGCATAGAAGAATAGGTATCATAACTGCTAGCTGATACGGCCAAGAATATCCAGAATACGTCGTGCATTACATACCTAGATTGGGAATTAAGCGATTGTTGGACGAAATTTTTTACGAATAAATCATGAGGTGCATATCGCTGATATATATAATTTGCAAGATGAATTGAATAGCCTTTTTATATGAGGCACGCATAAGAGTTTTTTTGTACTAACTCAGCTTCCAAGAAGAAAAATGACAGCAACGCTCACAATGACCTTCACCACGACTTCAAGGTCATTTCAAGGTCAGTAGCACGACACTCTGACCCACGCGGCCAACCGAGGTCCCTAACTTCTCCTTTTTACATCGGCATTTTTTCGCTCACTGCAATTTTGACAAAAAAATCAACGGGTTGGTTTACGAATAATATTTAAGATTGACATGACCCTTTTTCAATCTTGGAATAAAAATGAGCGGTTTGCTTCGAAAATTTTGACTCGATCTTGAAGGTTAAAGTCATGGTCATAATTGAGGTCACCTTGGGGTGATCCTCACAAACCACAAACCTGTTTCTACAGAGTGCCTCGTTTTCGAAATATTCAAGTGTAGAGAATAAAATGGGTCACTCTGTATATCAAAACGTTCAGTTTTATAAAATTTATATATTTCTGTTCTGTTTCCGAATAACTGAATTGATCGCCGCGCACACGGTGGACAAAACGAGAAACATCATCGGCCTGTGGGTAAATCTATCATGTGGGGTAGGTAAATTGAGGACTGACAAATATTTCGCTGTCATCATTTTTCAGATCGAAAGAAAATTGGAAGTTTGGAATTAAAATTTTTCCGGACAAATCGACTAAATGTCTGTCATTTTCAATAATAATCGTTTATTTTTATATTGCTCGTATTAGGCACATCGGCTAGGTGGCCCTGTTATCGCGCACCAAGCATGTAGTGTCATTTACTTTAACCTGTACGTAAATCAACGGTTATAACGTTTCATACTAATTTTATAAATACTTTGAAACAACTGGCAACTCTAATGAATGCAATATAAAGTACTTAGATTTGTCTGAGACGTATGCCTATTGGTTTTGTTTTTATTCTGGTAGAGATAAAAGCCCTGTTCCCATAATTTCCCGATTACTGAAATACTCATGACAAACTACACTTGATATTAAATATTTCTCAGTTGTTTTTAAATATTGAGAAATATAGAGAACATTTATCAAACCACCCTAATGAAACTAGCAGGATGAGATTTTAAATAGGGTTCATTACGTCGTTCTCAATTCATTAACACAACATATAAAAATCTCTTCCGTAATTACTGGTGCCGCACAGGTTACCAAAAGGGAAGTTGTGTTACGAAATAATTACAGATGAAGAACGACTTTTTTTTCAATAATTGTACAATTTGTAGCGTTTATGTTGTATGGCGCAGGTTGTGTAATATTGTCTTAATGTACCAACGGATTTAGTAATTTCATACCTCAATATTGCTTCGGTCATCTTATTTTCAACGTGGACGCGTGCCTTGACATCTTCGTCCTTCTCAACCTCATCGCATCGCAACGGAAGGTGGTTGAGCTCTTTGCATAACCTGCATGTCTCCTGTGAAATGTAAAATACAGTTAGTTACCACTAACAATAAACAGCTCAATGTCCGTATGGGGTGGGGGTCGAGACACACAGCTCACTATTAGCCAGCGTCGCCATATACGTTTCCTGTGAAACGTGCGATGTGTAAGATTTGCGGTGACACACTGTAGAAAAAATTAACGATAATTGGCACTGATTATTGATAATACAAAAGCAGATCACCATTAATCAACTTCATATGCCTTACGTACAGATTGCAGCAAAAACCGTTGCGCGATATTTTCCCCAGAAAAGGTTCAATTGGATCAAGCTTACCCTTGTGTTAAAATTACCAAAGTCGCTTAAATAGGGGCAAAGTTCCGTATTTAGGTAATTAACAAAATCCCGCTTAGAAAGTTTCGCAATTCAAAGTACTTCCGGAGAGAGAGATGTAAATAATCAAATTTTCTCAAAATCGTTTTAATTTTTACCTGACTTTACTTGTAGCGGGATTTTAAAATAAGTTCCACATTAACACTGCCATTTTTTCTCCTCTACAAGTTAGCACAATTAGAATTTCAATGTGACGTTTTGTCTCTTGTTATCCAGTCACAACTTTTTCTTATGATCATGAATAGAGCTGTACTTTAGAGATAATCGTTATAAACGATTTGGTTATTTTACTTTGATGTCACCATATGTGGTCCCAACGGCCCAACTGCTTTGTACAATGTCAAAATTTCGTTTAAATATATCGTTACCGTCAAAAGTTATGTTTTGTAGGACTGGAAATGTTGACAATAAAATGTATGAAAATTATTATACTACATCTAAGATAGATTTCACTTTTCTAATTTCTAGCTTTATTATTTCAGTAATTTTTAGACCGATTTCAGCGAATCGAAGGTCTATCAATTCGATCATAAATTTTGAATTATTTGTATTGCTGTTTCAGTCTCATTTAAATGCATACTATATGCTTCAAGTAGATATGATTAACAAAGTCAAAAAGCGTTTATATTATTTTATTCCTACCTGACTTGAAATGTAGTCATAATCATTAGCAGTAATTTTGCTAGAAGCGATTTTTGTATGCCAAGGGACTTTTCTAAATATCTTACAAGAAACAACAAAATACGGCCCTGTCTACCTGGCGTTGACGGATGCGTCGCAATTGAGTGTCACTTATCAATGTGGGGAATTTTTTAATATTACTAGATAAACAGATGCTACCGTAATGGATGCTCGTTAAAAGGCAGTATCAGTATCTGGGGCTTACCTTCATACATTCTGGGTTAAAACACTGAAACAACGTATATCGCTCATCGATGGTGTTGGGGAAATTACAGAATGGACAACTGTCAACTTTAAGTCCTGCCGCCCGTATCTCAGATTCCGTGTAACGCTGTGATAGTTTCGACAATAGTGTAGGTGGAAGCGCCGCCTAGACAAGAAATCAGAAACAGGAGCTGAATACGAGTAAAAGAGGGAAAATAGTCAGAGAATAAAAAAATCTGTAGTTTTGTATTCCACCTTTTGATTTTTATGTATTCGAACTGAAGAGGCTTAATTCCATTTGCTATGGTTTTGGGTAACATCAAGATATCTAAGTAATTAGAGTATGAAAATATTGTACTATGCGCAATAGGTTTATTAAAAAAAATAGCAGAACTAAATTTCAATGAAACTAGTAGGCGAGTGTTTAAAACTGAAAAAATCATGACTATGTATGTCATCTATGTGTATGAGTGTCTTAGGTTTTTTCAAAAATAAAAATTTATTTGAGCTTGAGGTGCATACTGTTTATGATATAGTCAATGTTAATTATTCAATACATAGATTATCCTCCACATAAAAAAGTCATATTTACATGTGTCTACAATTTTTCAATAATCTACCAAATCAAATCAAAAACAAAAACAGTTTCCATAAATTTGAAAATACCATTAAGCAATTTCTAGTACAGTAACTATATATAGTTGTAACGGTGATAGTGGCGGAACATTTCATTTTGTAGTGACTATACAATTTCTATTATGCCATTGTACAATTTGAATAATAGATTATTATTATCCCGCAATATTACGCACCTGTTGATTATAGTAGTCACTTTTATTTCTAATATATTTGCGTATAAAACAAAATTGAATGTCGGTATTACAAATGTGGTGGATGTGGTAACAAAAATTCATTCTGAAATAATCTTTATATAGGCGAAGATTCCTAGTCAAGTTTCAATTCCATTTCAGTCTTTCGAATAGATTTAACCGAAGATCGAGTGGTGTACTGAGATTCATAATTATCTTCTAGTTAGTGCTAACTTAGCATCTTGTTACAATAAACAACACTGCCAACATTCAACAAAATTGGCTCAAGGATCTTTGAGATGTAAAAAAACAACATTTTTATAAAAGTTCGACACTTATCTACTTAAATAGGAATGCGCCCTGACTGCATCATTAAGATTGAGGCCTATCACTAAGTAACGCTCAGTAGAAAGAAAAATAATAAGTCCTATGTACATTCTGCCAGAAATCTGTTTCAAGTAGGTTGACTCTATATCCCACATGCAATATTGCTTTGGTTCGATAATTTTCATATCGTGTTAGACTAAGAAATAAGCCTAACATGATCTAGTTGGTGAATTGCCTGGGAGGTGCAGAGACAAATTACTTGACACCATTTGTGATGAGGCGGTTTTCGTTTACCTGCAGCGTTTTCCACGCAAATTGTGACCCACAGTCCGCTAAACACGGAAACTGAATGTCTCCCTCACCAAGTTTCAATTCGCAGCTCTTTCTGATGCATTCCCCACAAAAACAACAATCGTTGGTACACGAATACACTTCTTCAGGCAATAGGTCGTCCGCGAAGCAGCATTGACACGAAACTGAAAGACCTAAATTATCGATTGCAAGTTTAATAGAGTCCATTTACGCCGTATGATAAGGTGGAAGAGCCTCGAAATTCGCGAGCCGCTTACCAGTGCCTCATTTAAGTTACTCAGGGTACCCACCACCTGTTAATACCGTTCCAGTGCTCTAGAGTGTCGTGCTCCTGAGCTACTCATTTTTTAAATCCCCTGCCCCCTCATGCATAATCAAAAATCTTGTGAATGGATCATTAACTAGGTGCAGATTTCATAGAGTGATGAATGAGAGATAAATGTGAGAAATTCTACTCGAACGTCAAATAAATCCCAGTATGGATAACGCGGATGAAGTTTACCTTGTTGGATACAAATTTGTTTGACATGGTTTCACTTTAATAAGTTTATCAAATAAATAATAAAAATTATCTTACTCGTATAGTAATTGCTAACAACAAAGGAGTACAAGCAGAAGAATTTTGAAGAAATGGCAAGACGCACTTGTCGCCTCATTCTACATGCCCAAAGTTGTACATACAGGGTGGCCTTTATGTAACTGATTTGTATCTTGAATATTTTTTTCATCTTAATCTTTTATTGAAACTTAGAAATTATGTATGAAAAATAATATCAGACAAATGTCCACCACAAGAAGCCGCGCAAACCTGAGCCCTCTTGAATACACTCCATCACTTCTTGGTAGGTTTCGGGAGGAATATATTCAACCGCTTCCGTATTATTGTTCTTCAGCTGCTCTACAGTATTTGATTTCTTGACATAAACCCAAGTTTTCAAAAATCCCCATAAAGACAAGTGGTGTCCAGTTGACATCACCAAATCGTGAAATTAAACGTCCCCGAAATATTGTTCCCAGAAGATTCATTGTTCCCCTAGCTGTGTGACAAGTTGCTCCATCCTACTGGAACCACATGTTTTGCAGGTTTAATTGTTGAGAAAGTTTTGCAGCATATAACGGTAGCGCTCGCCAGCGACAGTAAAAGAATTACCTGCAGCGTCTTCAAAGAAGTAAGGTCCAATGACACCTGCTCATTCCAAACACCGCACCAAACTGTGACTCGACGAGGATATAGTGGTCGTTGATGGATGACACGAGGGCTGTCTAATGCCCAGATACGAAAATTCTATTTATTAACAAATCCGTTCATATCGAAGTGGGCTTCATTGCTCATTATCGTTATTTTGGGTATTAAGCTGTAATGTTGCGTGATTATTGTCGGCGACTTTCATGGTCACTAGGCTGTAGCTCTTGAGTTAACTGAATTTTATATGGCCGCAAATGCAAGTCTTTTCATAAAATAGTGTATAACTAGGTGCGACAAATACCCAGATCTTGAGAACGATGTCTGGTAGACGTCTCATGGCGCAGAGTAATCGCTCGAACACTTTGGCGTTTGTTCAAATTTATGCACCAATTGACGAATGGTATTAACACTGGGCACATTATTTTGACCGATATCTTGTCGTAGCTTTCGAATCCTTGAAACAATCGACTCATTATTTAAGTAAAACGTTTCAACAATACGGACGCGTTGTGGGATCGTTTAGCGCTCCATGATGAATTGGGCACATGTCCTTTGAGCAACTACCATGGGCCACCTACTGATAATGGCGCGCAATTTAAATCAATCAGTTATATGTTGTCCACCCTGTATATTCTGACGAATTTGACACAATTACCACATTCTGCCAAGACATTTCATGATATATAGGACTAAATGATTTCAATGAATTGAATTGTTGCAATACTAACCGTTTTCTTTTGCAATTTTTCTCCTATCCGTTTCTTCCTGCTGTTTTTTTAGCTTACAATCTAAAATATCAGTTCGGTGCTCCAAGTAAGCAAGCTGAAAAGGTAAATAATTCAGTATGACGTCGAGAAAATTGAAGCGCAGATTCAGCATGTTGAAATATGATAAATGTGCTCATGTAGATAGCAAAGACCTTTCTTAAATGTTTACCTCTTGTAAAAGTCGAATGTCTTCGCCTGGATCAACCCTCATAGTTGTTGGTTTTCGACGGCAATTCATAACTTGCTCACCGTTTTGCTCTGCCTGCTGCAATTCCTCATCCACCTTAAGTAGACTTTTGCACTTTGGTTGCCTCCTACAAAACATGGAATTCATGCCGGTCCAGAATGGATGCGTTAGATTAAGCTCGTGAAAAAATATGCCTCAGTAAAATATCGCTCGTTAGTGGGATACAGGGTGTTGAATTTTAATTTTCAAAATTGGTTTTTGGGATATCAACATGAAATTTAGAAATCGGAGTTTTCTGAGGTCAAGGAATAAGGTTAGGTTGTATTTTTGAACTCTTGTAGAGGGTACTATTGTCTATTCAAACGTCACTTACTCCACGTCAAAACAAACATGAGCACTCTATCGAGATTCTGTTCTCTTGTCAGGACACCCTGTATATGATATTTTAAGATGGCGCACTGTGTGAGACTTTTTATGAAGGTGAGGAATGCATTATAAACCTTTGAATGTAGTTCTGATATGGTGTTTTTTGGTTTATTGAAATGATGACGAATAATACTTAAATGGAAATAAATAAGTCAAGCGAAAATCAGAGTTAGCAAAGATTTAATTATATTGATAATATTTTAACATGGGCATATAAGGCATTTTTTTTGTTCTTCCTCTCCTAAATTTACAGACATATACAGCTGATCTTTTTTTCTCAAAATCGCGGAAATATTCCACCCTTTATTTAAAGTCTCATCGCTACAAACCGAAAGTACTACGAGCCCCTTCCCACTTCAGTTGGCCCACTTCAAGGTTTGTACTAAAATATGCCTTTATATATATATATACAGGGTGTCCCAGAAGTCGACCTCAAGCCGAAACCGGGTGATAGGCAAAGTCATAACAGCTATCAGAAAAATATTTAAAAAAGTTTTATGTATGTGTTTTGAAAATTATAGGTCTTTGAAAAAAATATAGAAATTTCACACCCTACGGCAGTCTGTCAATTCCTGTTACTACAAATATTAACTTTTCTTGGATTTTATTTTTACAATGTAATGATGAATAATGCATCTTCAAACTGGTGTCTCAACCTTACTGCCAACTTTTCTCGTTCAGGAAAAATTGCCACTTATTTCCCAACCAAGTATTCCAAAGTAAAACTTTGCTCAACTTTAACTGGCTGTACTGGAAAAAATGTACTACGAGAGTTTGGCAAGTAACCTTAAAAGTTGGCGCATTTAATAACGATTCCCAAATGGTATAACACTTAGAAGATTACTCGTTAACTTATGCAGAATTTTTATTTGAAAAAAAACTGATGAAAATTTTTCAAAATTTCCTAATTAAACAGCGATTATGAAAACGCACAAGGACCCTTAAGGATAACTGTTTGCACAACAGTGGGCGTCAAAATGCTGCTGATGATGATTTACCTTTACAGCAAATGCTAAAACTGTTTTCCTTCAGCCGCAATACACGCTCGACATCTTAAAAAAGATCGGGTTATTAAACGAGCGAATCCACGGTTATTAACAAACTCAGCTGCTTCCAATAGTCTTTGCCGTAGCTCAGCTACATTTTGAATCGGCTTGAAATACACTTTTTGTTTTACAGTTCCCCAGTAAAAAAAATCTAACGGATTCAAATCAGGTGATCGGGCTGGCCACGGTATTGTATCAGACCGCCTTATCCATCTGCCTGGAAAGTTTTGATCGAGATAATCTCTCACTGAGAGTGCATAGTGCGCTGGGCAGCCATCATGCTGAAACCACATGTCCCTGTAAATACTCAGTGGCACGTCCACCAATAAATTTTGTACATGATTTTTCAAAATTCCTGTCCAATGGTTTATCTTGAAGCGATATTGAGATTTATCTTCTCTCATCAAATGTGGGTTCGCTGCGTGCCGGTCGCGTAAGTTATGCAGGTTCATGTACCCATCTTTCTTAAATGTGGTCTCATCCGACCATAACATTTTTTCAAAGAACTGTGGATCTTTCCTGTGTCTTTCTAACATTGTGCGACAAAAAGCAACTCGGGGCTCATAATCCCGGGGCAGGAGAGATTGAACACGCTGTATGTGGTATGGATGAAGCACATCACTTACTTGCTATTTATTGCACACTTTGATACCGATCAGTACTCCTTCGTTTACTGCGCATCTTTACATGTTCGTGCTTGTTGATTTCGTACTGTTACTAATTTTGGATTCGTGAACTGGACTGTTGATCGCTTGTGATTTGGATTTGGACTGTTTAATTGCTCTTCAAAACAACATTTGCTTTCCTTAGACTATCTCTGATAGTGTGATTGTGCAGTGTCGCTATGTCCGTGTACACCGTACAAGAATATGCTAACATGCACCTCATTTATGGGGAATGCAGATGCAACGCTAGTGCTGCAGCGAGACTTTACTGTGAGAGGTACCCGAATGCAGCTCGTCATCCAGATCATCGAGTGTTCACAAATGTGCACCGCTTACTGTTCTCAGAGGGCCAACTACCAAACCAATCACACGGTGAGGGCAGATCTTTCCTTCCTTACGAAGACGTGGTGCTAGGAGCTGTCGAAGAAGACCCGAGTACTTCATTGCGTGCAATAGAACTAAAAACAGATGTGCCCAAAAGTACAGCCCATAGAATCTTGCAAAAAAACGTGCTCCATCCATACCACGTACAGCGTGTTCAAGCTCTTCTGCCCCGGAATTATGAGCCCCGAGTTGCTTTTTGTCGCACAATGTTAGAAAGACACAGGGAAGATCCACGGTTCTTTGAAAAAATTTTATGGTCAGATGAGACCACATTTAAGAAAGATGGGTACATGAACCTGCATAACTTACACGAGTGGCACGTAGCAAAGCCACATTTGATGAGAGAAGATAAATCTCAATATCGCTTCAAGATAAACCATTGGACAGGAATTTTAAATGGTGAAATAATCGGTCCGTTTGAGTTCCCAGCGACTTTGACTGCTGAGGTTTATTTAGGTTTTTTGAAAAATCATGTACAAAATTTATTGGTGGACGTGCCACTGAGTATTTACAGGGACATGTGGTTTCAGCATGATGGCTGCCCAGCGCACTATGCACTCTCAGTGAGAGAGTATCTCGATCAAAACTTTCCAGGCAGATGGATAAGGCGGTCTGGTACAATACCGTGGCCAGCCCGATCACCTGATTTGAATCCGTTAGATTTTTTTTACTGGGGAACTGTAAAACAAAAAGTGTATTTCAAGCCGATTCAAAATGTAGCTGAGCTACGGCAAAGACTATTGGAAGCAGCTGAGTTTGTTAATAACCGTGGATTCGCTAGTTTAATAACCCGATCTTTTTTAAGATGTCGAGCGTGTATTGCGGCTGAAGGAAAACAGTTTGAGCATTTGCTGTAAAGGTAAATCATCATCAGCAGCATTTTGACGCCCACTGTTGTGCAAACAGTTATCCTTAAGGGTCCTTGTGCGTTTTCATAATCGCTGTTTAATTAGGAAATTTTGAAAAATTTTCATCAGTTTTTTTTTCAAATAAAAATTCTGCATAAGTTAACGAGTAATCTTCTAAGTGTTATACCATTTTGGAATCGTTATTAAATGCGCCAACTTTTAAGGGTACTTGCCAAACTCTCGTAGTACATTTTTTTCCAGTACAGCCAGTTAAACTTGAGCAAAGTTTTACTTTGGAATACTTGGTTGGGAAATAAGTGGCAATTTTTCCTGAACGAGAAAAGTTAGCAGTAAGGTTGAGACACCAGTTTGAAGACGCATTATTCATCATTACATTGTAAAAATAAAATCCAAAAAAAGTTAATATTTGTAGTAACAGGAGTTGACAGACTGCCGTAGGGTGTGAAATTTCTATATTTTTTTCAAAGACCTATAATTTTCAAAACACATACATAAAATTTTTTTAAATATTTTTCTGATAGCTGTTATGACTTTGCCTATCACCCGGTTTCGGCTTGACGTCGACTTCTGGGACACCCTGTATATATATATATATATATATATATATATATATATATATATACAGGGTGTCTGTATATATATATACAGGGTGACAGGTAAATAGGTGTAAAACATTTTAGGAGGTGATAGTACAGCTCCTTTGCTATCAAAATTAGTATATAATACCATACCCTATATTCAAGGGTTAAAAAGTTATGGAAGATTTATTTTTTTTTAAAAAACAATCCAGATTACAGAGTAAAATAGTTGAGATAAAAAAAAGTTGGTTATTAAACATTCTTTTTTTGGTGGTTTCAGGTTATTATTTAAATAAATAATTCTCATAAATTAAAAAACATATGAAAACACTACTGAAAACGCATTTATTTTCATTTAAATGTTAAATGAAAATTTTTATTTTCAACTTTCACATTAAGAAATCTTTTTTTTCAAACAAAATCATAATAAAGAAAATGTACAAATAACTGCAAAAACTTCCTCGTTTCATTAGGTTTCTAAAATGGTATAATAACATATCAGTAAGTAAACCATTTAACAATACAATATTACTTTGCTAGAAAGGACCGCTAAGCGCATTTCATTGTACTGACCAGGTAAACCGAGCCTTTCATGGTTCGACCCTTTTTGTTATTTTTTGTGCCCTGTGCCGTTATTCGGGTTTAAGTATTCGGAATCTCTCTTCGCTCCTCGGAAGCAAGCTCTGCGTTTGTTATGAATTGACACGGCTGACGGATCAAGGAAAGCGAACTAACGCTTAGGTTAGTTAGTAGAATATCAACCTTTAACGCGGTAGGACGTACTTTTACTTTTTTGATCAGTTTTAATAATGGCGAGTTACGTAACGAAGAATACGCTGATATTCTGTTTTGTTATGTAAGTGATGGAAATTCCGTTGTAGCCAGGCGAGAATACGAAAACCGTTTTCCGAATCGGCGAATACCGAGTCATCGAGTATTTGCTTCTGTGTACCAACGCGTCAAGGAAAGTGGACAGGTTCATGAGAGACGTCATGATGCTGGTAGACCTCGGTTGTTTGACGACGAAGATCGAGAGGCAATACTGGAATGCTACGGCAGAGACCCGACGACGTCTACACGAGTTATAGCAAAGCAGCTTGGTTTAACTCAGTGGAAAGTTTGGTTCGTTTTGCATTCGGCGAGACTTTACCCTTTCCAT